TGAATGTGCCAACATGTTGAGAAAGCATCAACATCTAAAACAAATTTAAATGTACTTGCCGTTTTCTCCTGATCTTGGAAGTTGTTTAAATCTCCGTTTTTTGGTGGCTGGAAGTTTGTTTTATTTATTTGATTCATTCATACCTTGCCTTACTCCCGGCTAAGGATCCAGAGCAGGTTTATACCGTCTCCTACCTGATCCTCGCAGCAACCCTGTGGTCAGGCCAAGAGGGTGTGGCTGGCCCCCCAAGATCACCCGGTCAGTTTTCGTCGCAAGTTCACAAGGGGGGGTGCTAGGAGGAAGGGGGTTGTGGGCTTGTTCTTTATAACTGGAAAATCCCTGCGTAAGGATGTGCTCAGAGGCAACTTACTGCTCAGTTATTGAATGTGTGGAGAGACAGGATGCCTCACTTATCCAGTGGCGATAAAAAGACACTCTGTGCATGCTCAGAGGTACTTTTTCAGCACTGGTGTTGAAAACAAACTCTTGGCACAAATTAAGCTGTTAATTTCAGAGACAAATTCTAGAGGGAAAGCCATATTAGTTAAAGATAGAGGTTTACAAAATTATGCACGGGGTAGAGAAGGTAGAGAAAGACGTACTTTTCTCCCTTTCTCACAAGAACTCATAGGCAATCAAATAAATTAATGAGCAGTAGGCTTAGAACAGATCAAAGGAAGTCCTTCTTCACCCAAAGAGTCATTAATGCGTGGAAATCACTGCTGCAGGAAGTGGCAGCGGCTACAAACGAGGACAGCTTCAAGAGGGGACTGGATAAACCTATAGAGCAGAGGTCCATCAGTGGCTCTTAGCCACAAGGGATAGAGGGAATCCTCTGTCTGGGGCAGTGATGCTCGGTCTTCATGGTGCTTGAGGGGCCAGAGCGGGAGGGCTTCTGGAGTTCTGGCCCCGCTGGTGGACCTCCTGATGGCCCCTGGGTTTTGGCCACTGTGTGACGCAGAGTGTTGGACTGGATGGGCCACTTGCCTGATCCAACATGGCTTCTCTTAATGTTCTCTTATGTTCACTTTAAAGACTAACAGCCTGAACATAGCCCAAGCTTCCATAGCCCATTTCATCAGCTGCAAATGCATTTTCAGATATATTATTGGAATATTTATATCCTGCTTTTCTCCCCAGTGGGAATCCAAAGAAGCTGACATCATTCTTCCCTGTGCCATTTTATTTTCATGGCAACCGTGACATCAGTCAGTCTGGGGGGGGGGGATGTGTGACTGGCCCAAGGGATTTGGACCCGGATCTCCCAGGGCCTAGTCCAGCACTGCACAGATGGGGGGCGGGGGGATGTCAACAGCTGACACCATCGAGTTCTTTGGACGGACTCCGGGTTAAATGGCTTGCGGTGTGACCCTGTGCAGAGAGACTCCCTTCTAAGGTCCCTGGGGTCTGTAACTCTGCTTAGGACTACACTGTAGGCATAGGATGTTTCCCTGGCTTCTGTGTCCTGGACGGACCATTCGTTGTTGGGGCTTAGGCTGATGGTCTCCTGTAACTTCTGAAAGGGTGGTGGATCCCTCCCCCTTGGCCGTATGGACTTCTGATGGGCCTCATGGTCAGGTGGTTTCCTACTGTCATGGTTGGTGCTCCTGTCAATGGGCTGCTCTTTAGGAGGTGACCCAGTGATTCCCGAGTGTCCTCGAAAGAGCTGAGGACTAAAGCGCAAATGGAGAGAACCTCAACATGACTTGAGCCAAGCGGCACTTCGAGCCCGTGGGCAGACCTGCTGTGTGATGGCGGCGGCAGCAGCAGCAGCAAAGCAGGCTCACGTCTCTGACCCCACCACATCTGCGTGGAGTTGCCTGGCTGACCTGTCCCGTGCAGCAAGAAGGCTTCTTCCCTCAGCCTCTGTCGATGCAGGCTTGGGGCCTTCGACAGCTCTCTGTGGTGTTTTTGCCAGGCAGTTTCTGGCAGAGTTACTCGTAGCACTCCTGACTGAGGCTCTGCTCATGTCGCTGTTGCGTCTCAGGTTGCGCTGAACACCACCTGGCTGCAGTCCCTCGGGTGGGTTTCTGATACCAAGGACGGTAGGCTTGGCTGTCTTCCGCATAGGTCATCTCTACTCAGCCCTGGGGCATCCCAGTTTATTAAAGGGGATTGTTGGGATGGGTGAGGAAGCCAATGAATTATGGGAGAGGGGAGAGGGTGAATGTAAAACCCGTTTTGAAGAAGCAGCCCCTAGATCCAAAAGGGACAAGGTATTTGACGGTGCCCAGGCTCTCTTGGAGGAGATGGATTTTCTAGCTGCATTTCAGCCCAGTGTCGGACCTAGTTCTGGCGAGAAACTTCGCTTTGGAAATGAGACTGGGTTAGGTGCCCTGGTGGAGAATCTTTACTGGGTAAAATACAGGGGAAGTGCAGCCCTGTGGATCCTCCTGGATTTCTTGGTGGCTGTCATGGGACTCATTTGGGTGGACTGTCTGGAACAGCTATGGGTACCTGCGCACCAGTGGTTTGAGTCTTCCCTGGCTGCTCAGTATCAGAAGGTGGTGCTGGGGAATTCAACTCAGTCGCATTTATGCTGCAGAAACCCTTCTGTATTCCCTTCTCTGTCTGCATGCTTTTCAACATTGGGGCATAAGCAGATATGTATATATTTATTTATTTATTTATTTATTTTTCACATTTCTATCCCGCCCTCCCCGGAGGCTCAGGTTTTAGGTGGAGTTCTTTGACATATGACCATTGTGTAGTACTCTACCATTTGGCTGAGAATTATTCATCTTTGGAGGGGGGGTTATATGTGGGTTTTATTGACCTCCCCGCTTTGATTCTGCAAGTCATTCCAGATTGTGGAATAAACTTAATCGAACTACTATGGACAAAAGGCTCCTAGGACTTATCCAGCGACTGTATTTGGGCTCAACTGCCCAAGTATGCTGTGGGTGTGGGCACTTAACAAATTTATTTAACTTGGAAAAAGGGGTATGACAGGGATGTTTGCTGGCACCTTCTTTATTCAATTTATATCTAAATGACGTAGCATCAGTCTTTGACAACTGCTGCCACCCACCGAAACTGGCTGAGACTTGTGTCCCTGTCCTGCTTTATGCGGATGATGCTGTTATTTTGACTTGAACGAGAGTTGGTCTGCAAAGGGCATTGCAATCTTTCTCCAGTTACTGTTCCCGAGAAAGCTTGGTGATTAATTATCTGAAACCTAAGACCAGGAAATGGAACCCACTTCAATGGTCAGTCAATGGGTCCAATATTGAGCAGATTAAGGCCTTCTCCTACTTGGGGATCCTGTTCTCAGCAGATTTATCTTGGACCCCCCCCAACTTCGAACAGCGATCCAGAAAGCAAAACTGAAAAGTATGCAGACGGAGAGTGATTTCAGCTAAGCATACCTTTATTTAGTTCAGGACAAAGACGAAGGGACCAGCTCGCAGGCTGGTTATATAGGTTCAGAAAACCCGCCACCAAGTACACCTAAACACACCCCCTACTCCCGATAGGCTATTTACAGTAACCGGGCGACCATTGGTCTCCCGGCTGAGAAGCTGGCCCTTTGATTGGGCCGGCTAGGATCCTACGGACCCATTGTCTTTGGACATGAAGCTATTGAAGAGTTGTGCCTGGCCAGCCCGGGCAAGTCTGGGCATGTCAGGCTGAATACATTACAAAAACCATGTGCAAACGTGATAAATATGTTTTTCCATGGGGGGGGGGGGTTTAGTATATTCCTGGAACTGCAAGCCTTCAACTTGAAAGTGCTCCCCCTTATTCTTTATGGCTCAGCTATTTGGATCAAAGTTATCTCTGATAATATTGATCAACCTGTGGCCCAGTTTTTAAGAAAAATACTGCCTATGCCCTGCTGTGTAGCAAATGTTATATTGTGTGCAGAACATAAGAGAAGCCATGCTGGATCAGGCCCATGGCCCATCCAGTCCAACACTCTGCGTCACACAGTTGCTAAAACCCAGGGGCCACCAGGAGGTCCACCAGTGGTCTGTCTAGTTCATTTTCTTTCACATAATGGCCAGAACCAGCAGCCTCCGGATATGTGGACATGGGTTGTCGCACCAGGAAGGGGGATAAATTCGTCCCCCGTTCCCATTTTGCCTCCTCTGGGCTGCTTTAATCCCCAGTAGGGGAAAATACGGATATCAAAATACTGACTAAAGAGAGCTGGGATGGACAACTGTTGAGGAGACACCATAGGTGAACCATCCTTTCCCAGAGCCAAGAGACCAATCTGTTAGCACTCCTTCCCCACCTTTTTGAAGCTAAATTACCTTAAACACGGGACATTTTCTGTTGTAGCTTCTCATTTGTGAAATGCCTTCCTCATAACCCTCCGTACAGCTGGTTGATTTCTCAACTAAAGTTGTATTGTTTGCACAGGCATTCATGATTGAAGTTTTGTTTAGTCTATTGGGTTTTGTGATGTGTCCGCATAATAATTTGTGGCTTTTACTTTTGTTTATAGGTCTTGCCAAGTGTTTTATAACTATTTTATCATTACTACTAACTTTTAGGCTAATTGAATTTGATTTTATTGTTTTTTAAACTTTTTTGGATTTTACTGATGTTTGCAAATCACCAGATTTTTGAGACTGCAGTAATTAAATATATTAATAATAAAGTATGCACCCTTACTTGTTCCCATTCCTTTTGTTTTCGTAATTTAGATATGCATGTGAAATTCTCATATGCAGCACTCACACCTTAAGTCCCTTGAATGTAGAGGTTATTACAGCTGCCTTCCTTAACTTCTATAAGTGATAATAAAGGGGTTGCAGTATAAAAATTCAATGATAACACAAATACTGCAAGTGTGCATCCATATATTCATAAATAGTTTGTATGCTGATAAAATTGAAGACTATTTATGAATATATGGATGCACACTTGCAGTATTTGTGTTTTCATTGATTCCTTAACTTCTATGGCTGCAGAATTCCAGAATGATCCATCACCACACTGTATGCATCTCTCTCTCTCTCTCTCTCTCTCTCTCTCTCTCTCTCTGGCAGGTCCTGTCACTGGGTGCTGACGTCCTCCCTGAATACAAGCTGCAGGCACCACGCATCCACCGATGGACCATTTTACACTACAGTCCCTTCAAGGCAGTTTGGGACTGGTTGATCTTGCTGCTGGTCATCTACACGGCTGTCTTCACACCATACTCAGCTGCCTTCCTGCTCAATGAAGAACGGGAGGAAATGCACTTGGACTGCAGTTACTCATGCGATCCACTCAACATCATTGACCTCATTGTAGACATCATGTTCATTGTTGACATCATCATCAACTTCCGCACTACCTACGTCAATATCAACGATGAGGTAGTAAGCCACCCAGCCAAGATCGCCATCCACTACTTCAAGGGCTGGTTTCTCATCGACATGGTGGCTGCCATCCCGTTTGACTTGCTCATCTTCCACACTGGATCAGATGAGGTGAGATGAATGTTGGGGATGGCAGCTTAGGAGATCCTGAGATCATGGTCGGTCACTGGAGGAAAGGAAGTGTTAGGCAGAGCTTTGTAGTATTTGCATTGGTAAAGAAACGTCTAGCATCCAGTTGTCAGGAGGCAAGATCTGATGCCTCTTACACCTCCCCCCACCATGGATCTTCAGGAGGCTTCCTAGAAAATGTGGGAGGAGGATGTGCTAGAAATCCCTGCAGTATCTGTGTGCCTTGCTTCCAAGAACCTGTAGACTCCAGCTCTCCAGGAAGGGATATTATTTTCAGCAGAGCTTCTGGGAAGACTGCGATGGTCTTGGCTTTCTTCATAGTCTCTGCCAATCCAAAGCCTACCCAAAAACCTTTGGGAGTTGCCATGTACTAATAGTGGATCTTGCATGTATGCAGAGAACTATTGAGAGAACAAGCAGAGCTCATAGCTACTGTGGGGAATTCTAACAGCTTAAATGCAAAATCTGCCAGAGCATACCATTCTATAGAAATTTCCCAGTGTATAAGTATCCAAGAGGAGCTGCGGTGGCTCAAGTGGTTAAGACGCTGAACTGCCGGCTGTGGAAGGTCAGTAGTTCAGCAGTTCGAGACCCGGGTTGCCACATGATGGAGTGAGCTCCCATCTCTGGCCCCAGCTCCTGCCAACCTAGAAGCTCAAAAGCAAGAAATTGCAAGTAGATAAATAGATACCACTTTGGTGGGAAGGGAACAGCGTTCCGTGCGCCTTGGTGTTTAGTGCGCCTTGGTGACCATGGAAACGTCTTCGGCAGGCCCTGGCTCTTCAACTTTGAAACGGAGATGAGCACCGCAACCCTATAGTCGGATTCGACTGGCTTTCGAGCAAGGGAACCTTTACCTTATGTATCCAAGGGAAAGTTTCTGACGGGTTTCACCCCATCCTTAACACTGCCCAAAACTTCAGAAGAAATGTTGCCTCAAGAAGTAGTATAATAACGTAAGATCACATAGAACTCTTTGAGAAACGGAGAAATGAAATCATGTTGGAATAGTAACACACGTCACATTAGGAGAGCGGGTGGTTCACCATATGCTTCTGGGGAATGGCCCACCAGTCTGTGCCTCTTTTTCTTGAAGCAAAGCTCCCCGCATGACATTTTCATGCAACTGAAATACGGGCACAGTCCTTACCCAACATGTCCCTTCAGAAGGGAGTCTGTAGAGCCCCAGAGCACTGCTGTGTAGCTGCCCGCTCCACTTGCTTTCCACGCCATTTCTACCTGTTGCTTCTTCTCTTCTCCAGACGACAACGTTGATAGGGCTGCTGAAGACGGCTCGGCTGTTGCGCTTGGTTAGGGTGGCCCGTAAACTGGACCGCTACTCTGAATACGGGGCCGCAGTGCTCTTCTTGCTCATGTGCACTTTCGCCCTCATTGCCCACTGGTTGGCCTGCATCTGGTATGCCATTGGCAACGTGGAGCGGCCGTATATGGAGCACAAGATCGGATGGCTGGACAACCTGGGCGACCAGATTGGCAAGCGCTACAACGACAGTGACGTCTCCTCCGGCCCGTCCATCAAGGACAAGTACGTGACGGCCCTCTACTTCACCTTCAGCAGCCTCACCAGTGTGGGCTTTGGCAACGTTTCGCCCAACACCAACTCTGAGAAGATCTTCTCCATCTGTGTCATGCTGATTGGCTGTGAGTGCTTCTCCTTTAGCGGGTTTTCCGGCTGTTTACTCCTTCTTTACTCCTCCTTTCTCCTTTAGCGGGTTTCCCAGCTGTTATTTTATGGATGCTAGGCTGCTCTTTTTTCGTTCCCAGGCCCTTTTAGGCCTGCTGCTGAGCATGTCAGAGGTGAAGAGAAACAGGGCACTTTTGGCTGGCTGGTTCAAGGTGAAGAGAACTAAGGCAGAGAATGCAGAGGGTCCCCCCCCCACACACACACACACTGGGGGGGGAATGGGGTGGGGCTATGAGGACTTTGTTTAAGTTTTTCCAATGGGAAATTCGGGGGAGCACGAAAAATACTTATGATTTTTTTTCCCCTTTTGGAATAAGTAAAATACTTTTCCAGGCACACTTTTACTCACAGCATAAACATTCTGAGGACTTTCTCCCCATTTTCCTGATGGAAAATCTGGAACACTTTGGAAGCACTGGAAAAAAAAACACCTTAATATGTAATTTTTTTTTAATTTCAGGATTTATTTTCTTTTCATGTGGCAAAATATAAGATACATGTGTGAAGGTTGCGTGGAGGGTAGGAGCTCCCCACTCGCTGTCATATCTGAGATGCATTTGCAAATTTTTATAGAAAGCGAAGACTTTTAAAATCCTGAATATGCCAAAGACTACAACGTTGAACACCAAGTTATAAATGCAGCTTTTATCATTAGAGCTGCAGCATAAGTTTGATAGGAAAGTATCGTGTATTTTCTCAGAAGTTCCTTTCCCTCCCCCTCCCCCCCAAAAAACCTGGTTGGAATATCATGACTTCAAAAATTTTCTAAACTAGGGTTGCCAACTCCAGATGGGGAAATTCCTGGAGATTTGGGGATGGAGCCTGTGGAAGGCAGAGATGGGAAGGGACCTCCATGCCTTGGAGTCCCCCCCTCCAAAGCGTCCATTTTCTCCAGGGGGACGGAGGCCTGTGGGCTGGAGATCCGTTGAAGTCCCAGGAGACTCCCAGGCCTTACCTGGATGTTGGCAGCCCTCGTTGAAGGCAGTGCCTGTGGCCTGCGGATAGAACTATGGAGGCGGCTCCTTTAACCGTTCTGCAGAAGAGGAAATCCAGCACGTGGAGATGGGCTTCCTGATTTATGAGGGGCAACAAGGCACAGAGCAGGGGCCTCCTGGAGACCCTCTGCCCATTGTCGTGGGAGGGCAGCTTTGCCAGCATCTCAGCAGTGCCTCCAAGAATTTCTTTTCCCCATCAGCCTCCGTACCAGGCATTTGCTTCCGTGGACAGGTGGCAAGAGAGACTGGGAGAACAGCTGCTGCTTCTTGTTCCTTCTCCCGGACTCTGGGATATTTACTTGGCACTCGGGTGCCAGCCTCCAGGTGGGACCTGGGGAATCCCCCAGAATTACAACTCATCTCCAGACCACAGAGATCAGTTCCCCTGGAGAAAGTGGATGTTTAGGAGGGTGGACTTCATGACATCTGGCAACCCTACCCCCCCTCTTCCCTGCCAATGGCCGGGGGGGACCTGGCAACCCTGCTTGGCCCACAGGAGAACCCCTCCCCTGCCTGGCCTTATTTTTCCCTTCGGGTCTTTGGAAGGAAAGCCCCTAGTCTCAATCTGTGGATCATCGAAACAGGCAAAGCACTGGGAGAAGGTGGAATGTTTTGCGATCAGGTGGTCCAAAAGCATGCACAGATCTACAGTAGAACGCCCTTCCCTAAAACCGGCCTGTTCCTCTGCTAGGATAGAGTTATTTTCCAACCAGTCTCTAAATTTCCATAACAGATGTCTTGCATAGAGTTTACTCGCTATGCTTAATGAACGGATTGGTCTATAATTACGGGGGTCATTCTTATTGCCCTTTTTGTACAAGGGGATGATGGCAGCTGCCACCCCCACCCCCCAGTCCTTTGGGATTTTTCCAGACTGATCAATGTGAAAGAATAGTGAGGTTAGAACAGGGACCCACCACACTGCATTCCGTTTTGTCATTTCTGGGAGAGTTAAATCTGGGCCATGGTTTCAGGGTCTCAATAAGGCGTTTCACCTCCGAGGGGTCCACCAGGGGCCAGTTTGGTAAATTGTTAAGGTCTTAAGGTATTTTTCCCTTGGGGTCTTTGGAAGGAAAGCCCCTAGTCTCAATCTGTGGATCATCAAAACAGACAAAGTACCGGAAATTAAGGTGATTTTGGCATCCTGGGACTTGCAGCTTTAGAGAAAAATAGAAGTGACAGGAATATTTATCGCTTTAGCCTTTGGGCCTGCGCATCTGTACATGGGGCAGAAGATAGACCTGGTTCCCCAGATATGGCAAGTGAGGCGGTTCCGCTGTCCTGGGCCCTCCTTCAACCAATCACATTCTCTGATACGTTCAGGTCACATATCTGGGAAGCTGGTATTTACTGTGGATTCTGAGAGGCCTTTGGAGATTTGTGTATATCCGGTCTGTTACAGTGTTGGTCTAAGACTGGGCCAGTCATAGAAGAGAAGAAGAAGAGATTGGATTTATACCCCACCCTTCACTTGGAGTCTAAGAGCGGCTTACAAACTCCTTTCCCTTCCCCTCCCCACAACAGACACCCTGTGAGGTGGGTGGGGCTGAGAGAACTCTGACACAAACTGCTCTTTTTCAAGGACAGCTGTGCCAGAGCTTGTGACTGACCCAAGGTCACATCAGCAGGTGCAAGTGGAGGAGTGGGGAATCAAACCCGGTTCTCCCAGATTAGAGTCCGCGCACTTAACCACTACACCAAACTGGCTCTCATACGCTTAGCCTAAGATGTGAGGAAAAGAGAGAAGGGGAGGAGTATTTCCTTTCATACGCAAATTAAATATTGTCTCAGTGAAGGAGTTCACGACATCTTTCCTTTCTTCTTACAGATTCCGCTTTCTTTGACTGAGATTCAGACTATTAGAAGTGAAAAAATTATGTTTTGAAACCAACGTAATTAATTGTTGATGGCATTTCTTTTTGGCAAATATAGATTATTTCATGTTGAAGTAATTTAATGTAGATGACTAACTGTGGGCCTGGACCAGGTTCAACCCCACCCCACCCTGAGAAATGGAGGTCTGCCCCCCCTGGGTTAAATGGGGCCAGACACACCTATCAGGTTGCCTCGTGGTTGCATTTGCAAGCAGGGTTGCTTTTGCTTGGGTGGCTTCGTGACCTGGATTTTTCCCTTTTCACTTGGACTTGGCGTTAGAGGGTTAGACAGCGTTATTCATAGACATGCCTTCCTCTGCCCGCTCAGGCAAGCCTGTGCTTTTTTGTTGCTGGATTACTTATTCATCAGTTTTATTTCATAGGATGTTTTAGTCTCACCATAACCCTGGGAGGCAGGCGAAGCTCAGAAGGAGAGCGGCTCATCCCCAAGGCCATCTCAGGAGTCCCAAACTGGGTGCTGCAATGAATATGACAGTGTAGAAATCTCCCCTTCCTCACCATCAGCTGGGAGAACGGAGTCTCTCCAGGGCAGGTGGAACCTGAGATAGGAGTGGGAGGGGGGCAGGATAATGTGGGGAGCTTTCCACCAGGGCCACCATTTCATCCACTTCCATGTCTCTGTGGCTCCCCTGCGGCAGACCCTTTACAACTCTTGGCTCTTGCTTAAGCGTGTGCTCCGGGGGTCCTCCCCAGTGGTACTCGCCTGCAGTCTGACTCCGCTAGAGTCAGGGACTCCCCACACAGAACTGACCTTCCAAGGGCTAAAGAAAGAGGGTTTGCATTGAAGAAGAGGTTGGATTTCTACCCCGGAGTCGACTCGAAGTCTCAGAGCGGCTGACAAACTCCTCTCCCTTCCCCTCCCCACAACAAACACCCTGGGAGGTAGGCGGGCTCGAGAGAGCTCTTGACAGAAACTGCTCTTTTTCAAGAACAGCTCTGACAGAACTATGGCTTGCCCAAGGTCATCCAGCAGCTGTGAGTGGAGGAGTGGGGAATCAAACCCGGTTCTCCCAGATTAGAGTCCGTGCACTCAACCACTACACCAAACTGGCTTAGGTTAGGTTTGCACTGACTCAGCCAATAGTAAGATACTAAAATATCATAGAATGTTAGAGTGGGAAGGTACCTTGCAGGTCACCTAGTCCAACCCCCTGCACTCTGCAGGAGCATAGCCGAAAAATAGCCCCTACAACATACCCGAAAGAGGGTCGTCCAGCCTCCACTTGAAAACATCCAGCAAAGGAGCATCCACCACCTCCCAAGTGCCGCCCGGGGCAGGGTCCTTTGTGCCGGAAGCCAAAGGGGCTGCAGTGCCTCCACCTCTGGTCCCACCAGTCCCTGTGCTCCTGCAATGCCTCCAGCCTCTTTGCGGGCTGAAAAGGGCTTTCCTCTCCTTCCCGCAGGAGACTGCGTGGATCTCCTGCCCACACGGGCAGTGATTGATTGTGAGCGCGCAGGATCCTACCCTGACCACATCTTCTCTGGCGGTTCATCTCTTCCTCAGCCTCCCCCCCCCCCGTCCGCCCCCAGTGGAGCGCTCACATTGGAGGCCCCACAAGCCCACTTTTCTCTTCCCATTCAGCAGGGGCAGTCTGTGCTTCTCAAGCTATGACAAACCAGTCCTGATGCACGGTGCAAAATATGCAGTTTTAAAATGTGTAAGTTTGGTAAAATGGTTAATTTGCTTCTGGCTGCAGTGCTGAATTGTAGAGCCTGCTGCAGCTGAGGCATTGATGTCCACCCCCTTCACAGAAGGTCTTGTTCGGGCTAATTTGGACTTATTAAGCCTTCAGTCTCTTTTAAGGATAGCTGCAGTCTTATTAAGCCTTCAGTCTCTTTTAAGGAAACAGGGGAAGGGGTGTGGAGGATGCGCCCCCCCCCCCACCGAGCAAGTCCCTTCCTTGCTTTGTCTGTCTGCGGTGGGGGGGGTGGGCCCTTCAGACATTCAGACAGGACTGAGCTTCAGGGTTTTTGGGTTTTTAAAATGCTACTGCCTTTCCTGGTATTCACAAACCATCTCCTGATACATCTGAGGGCATTCAGGACGTAGAACCCAGGAGACATTCCCCTGCTGTCTCTGGGAGGAGGCCTCCAGAGTGTCCCTGGAGCCCTCGGTGCTGACCCCTGTCCTCCCTTTGCAGCTCTGATGTACGCCAGCATCTTTGGCAACGTCTCGGCCATCATCCAGCGCCTCTACTCGGGCACGGCCCGCTACCACACCCAGATGCTCAGGGTGAAGGAATTCATCCGCTTCCACCAGATCCCCAACCCGCTCCGCCAGCGCCTCGAGGAGTATTTCCAGCACGCCTGGTCCTACACGAATGGGATCGACATGAATGCGGTGAGTCAGGCTGGAGGGGGGCTCGACGGTCTCTGCCTGCCCTCTGGGTTTTCCGGTGGGTAGCAGAAGATTCCCTGGGGGAGAAAGAGAGACACTGCCTTGCTTTTGGCTTTCACGTCGCACCCCTGCAAAGCTCTCGGCCGCATTCCTTTGCCTTCTACTTGAGTGTAACCTTTTGGAAAGTGCTGACAGAAAGGTATGATTGATAAAAGCAAAATCATCTGTGTTCCACGGGGGTGTTCCTCTGGTACGATGGCGAGTCTGCTGAGCGGAAGCCCATTTTCCTTTTGCCTCCTGGTGTTCGGACACGCTAAGCAGAGGGCTCTTTAAAGTGTAGAGTTTGGATGGGAGCCTCAGGTGCTGTCCTGCGTCTCAGGAGGGGAGAGCATCCTTCTTTGCACCTGCTGAATTTCTGATCAGTCGACAGGCAGTTATTTGCCCAAGGAGGACAGGGGCTGCAGCACCCGTGAGGCCTGGAGGTCAGCCGTGGCAACTCCCATTAGACATATTTGTTAGCATGTAAAAGGGAAGAGGCTCAGTGGGTATTAAAACGTCTACAAGATTGATTGGATGGCGGGGCAGGGGCCACACTAGGGAACTGTGCTCGTTTTTTTTTGCTTCTGAACCACTGGCTGTGAGTTATCCCTGCTTGGCAGGCATGCAAAGAGGTGGGGGCTTCCTCGGGGCAGGCGATGGGCCATTCAGGGAACAGAATGCTGTGCTTCGGTCTCTGGTCTGATCCAGCAGGGCTCTTTTTCCATTCTGATATCTTCTAATACTAGGTTACATTTGTTCACGTCTTAGAGCCAGTGCTATGACCCGGCCTGTGTGATTGCTGGGCTAAGCTGTGTCACTGCACAACCACGTTAAGAACATAAGAACATAAGAGACGCCAGTGTTGGATCAGGCCAAAGGCCCATCCAGTCCAACACTCTTGTGCCGAAAATACCAGGTGCCATCAGGAGGTCCACTAGTGGGGCCAGGACATTAGAAGCCCTCCCACTGTTGACCCCCCCAAGCACCAAGAAGACAGAGCATCACTTGCCCCAGAGCCCCTATCTATATCCTGTGGCTAATAGCCACTGATGGACCTCTGCTCCATATGCTTACCTAACTCCCTTTGGAGGCCGTCCATGCTTGTAGCCGCCACCACTTGCTGTGGCAGTGAATTCCAAGTGTTAATCACTCTTTGGGTGAAGAAGGACTTCCTTTTATCCGTTCTAACCCGACCGCTCTGCAGTTTCATGGAGTGCCCATGAGTTCTTGTATTGTGAGAAAGGGAGAAAAGTACCTCTTTCTTTACCTGCTCTTTCCCATGCATGATCTTATAAACGTTGCCGTTGAATACACACGTACCGCAGCCCCACTCAAGCCAGAAGCCATTGCCACAGCGTCTTCGCAGGAGCTGACGAAGTGACCGCAAGATAGCATTGCCATTTCTGATCTGCTCGATCCACATGTTAAATGCATCCGTGCATGTCAGGGACACTTGCTGTTCCTGCAGGGTTGTTGTTCCCGGCTCCCCCTGAACAACTCCCCAAACCAATTTCACCTGCGTGTTCCTCGAGGTAGGGCTGCACACCAGACTGTATAAAAGTAATTAAAGATCTATTAAAAGCACTAAAAATGATCTGCTATCATGTACAGTCTTACCAGGTCCAGGTAACAAGAAAAATAACACACTGCCTATCTGTATCGCAGACGGCAAATCTCCTGGGAGCACCAGAAGGTGATACAACACAGAAGCCCGAGCAAGAAGGGGCCGTGGCATCGTAGCCTTCCACCCACAGCAGTCAGCCATAGCGAAGCGTATCCCTCACTAGCCTGTGGCCTCCATTGTCGCCTATTCTCCCTTCCCCCCCTCCCGGAATCAGATGGTCTCTCTTGGCCAACCGACGGTCTTCTTCTCGGGAGTCCTTGAGAAAACGCTGGTCTTTGCGTCTCCCAGAAGTCCATGGCTTCCACTCCTCTTTTCACCTCCCCTCCTCTTTTCCCCTCCCCTCATGATGCTCTGTTAAGCACAGGCCCCTTTGAAGTGCCCAGTTACCACAGCCACTATCCGGCCTTGAATGAAGAAGAAGAAGAAGAAGAAGAGATTGGATTTATACCCCGCCCTTCACTTGGAGTCTCAGAGCGGCTTACAAACCCCTCTCCCTTCCCCTCCCCACAACAGACACCCTGTGAGGTGGGTGGGGCTGAGAGAACTCTGACACAAACTGCTCTTTTTCAAGGACAGCTGTGCCAGAGCTTGTGACTGACCCAAGGTCACATCAGCAGGTGCAAGTGGAGGAGTGGGGACTCAAACCCGGTTCTCCCAGATTAGAGTCCGGGCACTTAACCACTACACCAAACTGGCTCTTGTGAGATCACACTGGTGGCCGGAATCACAGACACCTGTAAGCTCAAACGGGGCCTCACAATAGTCACAGTAGAGCTTAAGCATTGCAGTGTAGTGGCACAGTCTGCCCTTCAGGGTGCACGAGGGGTGGCAGGAAGTATCTTTGGACGCAGCCCTACCGGAAGAACCTGAGCCAGCCCTCCCTGCTTCCCACCATTCAGAGCACCGTGAGGTCTAAGCCCCACTTGGAGCCCCTCGGGCTGGGCCAAGCAGGTTGCAAGGCGGAAGCCCAGGGGTCGTCATTGGGAGGCTGATTCGGTTCTTCTTGGGGCAAGAGAGAGAGCGTGTCTGAAATCGATTCCTTTCTCCCTCCCCTCTGGCTGGTTGCTAAGCAAAAGCGGGACCGGATGGTGCCTGAATCAACTTCAATCCATTTTAATTACTGTGCTGGAAAAGAGACTGAAGAAATCAATTGCAAAGCCCAAAGCTGCCTTTGCAGGGGAAAGAGGCCCTCAGTCATGATTGTTGCTCTTTGGGAGAAACATTTCCCATTGTCCTTCAAGACGGCCTCTTGGAAAAGTGATTGAGAAAGGAAGCAGGAGGAGGGGTGAGGGAGGGGTGGTCCGCTCGTCTTCCAGTAGATCGTCCCCGGTGGGTTCTCTCTTGAAGCGGAATTTATCCAGACTGAAGGATGAAGTCAGGAGAATGGTGACTTTGTGTGTCAGGAGGTGATGAAGTACCTTTGAAGACACTGCCGTTTCCCTTCTTGGTCATTCAGACCAAAAGAGCCAAAAGCAATTGGTCTCCTGTGCAGCAACAGGGTCCGGCAAGGGACGAGGTGCGAAGGGCTCCTGGCTGGGAGAGGAGGGAGTGGGAGGAGCCTGCCTCTTTTGCTAACAAAGCCACGCCTCCTGAATCTCACACACACACACACACACACACACACACACACGTGCCCCCCCCTTTCAGAGCAGGGTAGGTGAACCGCACAGGTGTCTTTGTAACAGTTAAGTTGGCCACGCTGCGGAAGGATGTCACACCCTCCTGGGAGCAGCTTATAGGGGGGGGGGGGACGACCTGCCATAGACCAGCCAGCTTCGCCCTGCCCAGACTGCCACACAGGAACTGGCATCCTCTGTCTGTGTGGCGCCTTCCCCTCCCTCGGACCGGCCGGCATCCTTCCCAAAAGGAAGGGGGGGCTGGGGCTCCCCAGTCGACCCTCTCTCCTTGGCTTGCACGTTAAAGACAATCGTTGGTTGCCCAGTTTGGCAGTCTTGGGGAGGGAGTGGGGGACAGGCACCACAGCGAAGGAGGCCCTGGCACAGCCTCTGGGAGACGTTCCCTCGTATCCAAAACACTTTGCCATCGTTTGTTACCGATGGGCATTGCCCGAGCGGGAGTCCGGGGCTGTTCTCTCGAGGTACGGACTGCGGGGGCGGCATGGAGCCCTGGGGCCAACGGCTCTCCTCTTCTCCCCGCCCAGGTGCTGAAAGGCTTCCCGGACTGCCTGCAGGCGGACATCTGCCTCCACCTCAACCGCACCCTCCTCCAGAACTGCAAGGCCTTCCGAGGAGCCAGCAAGGGCTGCCTGCGGGCCTTGGCCATGAAGTTCAAGACCACTCACGCGCCTCCCGGCGACACCCTCGTGCACTACGGAGACGTCCTCACCACCCTCTACTTCATCTCACGGGGCTCCATCGAGATCCTCAGGGAGGATATTGTCGTGGCCATCCTAGGTGGAAGAAGGAATCCCTCTGCCGCAGGAGGGGGGCGGGCGATCGGGGGGGCAGGGGGGCAGTTTGCTCGTGGCAAGTCGCAGCTGCCCCCGGGTTGCCAGGTCTGCCTCAGCCACTGGCAGGGAAGAGGGGGGAGGGTTGCCAGATCCAGGTTGGGGAACTCCGGGAGATTTGGGGATGGAGCCTGGGGAGGGCAGGGACCTCAGTGGGGCGCAAGGCCGTGGAGCCCACCCACCAAAGCATCTGGAGTCTCTGGAGATGAGCTGTAATTCTGGGGAGTCCCGCCTGGAGGAGTTGTCCTCAAGCAGAAGAGTTGCCCCCCCTCTCTCCCCACCACCACTGTACTGTCTCCTGCTGGCAGGAGCCCTGTGGTGCTCCCCCCGCCCCCGCCGCCTGTCCCAGCAACCAGAAGTCAGGCAAGGGAGACGGGAGCCTCCCGTTAGGCTGCTTGCTCCGCCTTCTTTTTGCGGTTGGGGAGAGTTGGTGGCTCTTGCTAGCCGGAAAGAGCAATGCCCCCGAGGAGGCCCGTTCAGTGTTCAAGGGCGGGGCCAGGTAGCACGGCCAGAGGGAGGGGGCAGCAAGGGCCCCGCGACACCTCCGGTGACGGGCAGGCTTCCCAAGGTGCCCTGGCCCAGTCCGTGGGTGCTCCCGGCCTCTCGGTATTCTGCTGCTGTGTCCAGAAGGCGAGCAGCCTCCTTCAGCGCTCCTGCGGTCCGAGAGAGCCTCCTGAGCCGTGGGTGGGTGTCTGTGGGTGTGGCTGCCTTCCAAGGGCAGGGAGGGCCGCCGCCCTCTAACGAGGTTTCTTCCTGGTGCAGGGAAAAATGACATCTTTGGAGAGCCCATCAGCCTCTATGCCAGGCCTGGCAAATCCAATGCGGATGTGCGAGCCCTCACCTATTGCGATCTGCACAAGATCCAGCGGGAGGACCTCCTGGAAGTCTTGGATATGTACCCAGCCTTCTCCGACAACTTCTGGAGCAACCTGGAGATCACCTTCAACCTGAGAGATGTGAGTCTCCCTCCAGCAGGGGGAGGGGGGAGGGACCGGGGGGGCCCACAGCTAAGAGCACCTGCCCTCAGCCCGTGGAGGGGGGAAAGGAGACGCTCAGCCCTGTGCGGAAAGGGTGATGTCCGGAAGGCAGAGCGAGTGGCGCAGGCCAGCATCCCTCTTCCTTGCGTTGGAAACTGTCCCGGTCCCAGCAGCATTCTAGGCAGGAAGCCCCCCCCTCTTGTGGGTACCGGCCGTGCCCTAAAATGAGGTGCCAAAGCTCACCAGCTCAGAGGCTTTGGGGACTTAGAAGGAAAAAGGTGTTTTGGGGTGGAGCTCCTTGCTGGTCAATGTAGAACTAAGGCGGAGTCATCTCAGCTGTTCTGACCATACAAAACGATCATTGGCCGGTGGTCCTAGGGTGGGGGGCATTCTAGATTTGTAGGAAGCTCCCTGGAGGGAGGCAGGGTCACTGGCAATTTTGATCCCTTCCCTCCCCAGCTCCCAGTCTTGAACCTCTAGCCCTCTAGCCAACAGCCTCTGTTTGTCTTTTCTCCACACACTCTCCCCCCTCCCCTTTCTGGAGCGGTAGGGCTGGGGACTGAAAGTGGCAGAGAGCTGCCGCATGACACAGGGCGGGCCAGCTGAGCAGGGGTTTCCTTGCCTCTAGAGGCGTGGGGGAGATCACGCTGCACAGCGTCGTGGGGGCTTCTACTTAGGAAGCCGGATCGTAGGAGCTCCTGCAGCCCACTGGAGCTGCCAGTGAGGGTAGATCACCCAGGCACGACACACACCCCCTTCCTCCTCCCCCCCAAGGAAGAAGGGAGAACCCCTCGGGAGTGGGGAACATCCATGGGTACTCTAGCCTTCGGATTGGGAGCATCCCCAGTTGCTCCGAGGCCTGCGGAGTGGCGGCGCGGCAGGAGTTGTGCTCTCCTCCTCCCGGGGCCATTTGGATTTTTGGCGCAGCATCAGGCCTCTTCGCTTCTGGATGATCCCTTTGATTTCAAAGTAAGGTGGGCAAACCGGCTTCGGGGGTGAGCAGGGGGTAGTCTCCCTAACTGCCCCCCCCCATTGTTGTTTTTTGCGAGCAGGCTCTTCTGAGCGTGCCCCACAGGTGGTGCTGGCCCCTGGCTCGGACCTCCCTCCCTCCCTCCCCCTCTCCTGCCTCAGCCCACGGCTCATCCCGTGGCTCAAAGATGGTGGGAGCCCCTGCTCTGCGTCTCTCGGGGGATAATGTTCATGCCAACCTGCTGGCCTGGCTCAAGGGAAAGGTGCAAAGGAGGATAGGAGCCTCCCTTTCAGGGGCTGCCTCCAGCTGCTGTGATTCTGCCAGGCCCTCAGAGAGGGTTAGGCCTCCTTCGTCCTCCAGTTCTGGGTCTGGGGAGAGGGAGGAAAGCAGGGCCCCTTGTTCCCCCCCCCTTGCCCTGAGAAACAAAAGGAGGTTCCATCCAAGGACTCTTCTAGAGATCCAAGCTCTCTAATGGACCAGGAGTCCCCAGACTCTTCTTCCCCAAGAGAGGAGGGAGAACTACCTGACGAGGAAAACCAGTTAGCAACCACCATGCAGACCCGTCTCTTTCTACTGGAGGTCTTCTCTAAGCTTCTTCCTAAGGTCCTCCGCATCCTGGAAAGACGTAAAAGAGCTGGGTCCGTCTAGACCTTGGGGCTCGGCTAGGGCTTTTCCCCAAGGGGGGGGTCTCCCTCGGAACTCCTTTCCCCGGTGGTCCTAGGAGTGGGGCAGTCCTCACTGTTGGGATATGGCTCCTCCCCCTAAGCAGGGTTGGTCTCTCTCAGTCAGTCCAGCTGGGGGAGGGGCCTGTCCCCTGGGAACTCCCAGGTGTCCCCTGCTGGAGAAGCAGGAAGGTCTGCCGGTGTTCCAGGGAGCGCGGTGATCCAGCTTGTAGAAGGAACGGGGGGGGAGGCCAGGGAGGAGGGAAGGTCCAGGATCTACCAACATCCCCCTTGGTTGTCGCACCGCCCTTGGCGGCAGAAGCTTCAGGGCCACGGTGGTGCCGAAGTCACATGGAGCAGCGGCACTGGGAGGTCCCCAAGCAGCCGTGGCGGAGCTCCCCCAGGCCGTGGAAGGTGGCAGAACCCTTGGAGCTGGGGCGGTGAGGCCTCAGGCTCCAGCTGGGCCGTGCCAGTGGGGCCGTATGGAGCCACAGAACTGGCGGGCTCCCGGCAGCCGTGCAGGAGCCCAAGCTCTCCCAGGCCCGGAGCATGAGCCGTGGCCGGTGGCAGTGTACATCAGGGCCTGCACAGCAAGGCCGCGGGCCCCGCCGGGCGTTATCTCCAGGCTTCAGCTGGCGGCATTCAGAGTGGTGGAGCTGGCAGCACAAGGAGAACCCCTGCAACTGCCGCTGGACTGCAGACTCCTGCCAGGCTCTTCTAGCCACAGGAGGAGGAGGAGGAGAGGAGGAGGAGATTGGATTTATACCCCGCCCTTCACTTGGAGTCTCAGAGCGGCTTACAAACTCCTTTCCCTTCCCCTCCCCACAACAGACAGACATCCTGTGAGGCAGGTGGGGCTGAGAGAGCTCTGACACAAACGGCTCTTTTTCAAGGACAGCTGTGCCAGAGCTTGTGACTGACCCAAGGTCACATAAGCAGGTGCAAGTGGAGGAGTGGGGAATCAAACCCGGTTCTCCCAGATTAGAGTCCGCGCACTTCACCACTACACCAAACTGGAAGGAGGGCCCTTCCCTCCCCCTCGGCTGCAGCAGGTGCGGGCTGGCGCTGAAGACCAGGCAGCCTCCCTGGAAGCTGGTCTCAGAGAAACAAAGGAGCAGCCGCCTGAACCACAGCAGGAAACCCCCAGGCTATGGGGGGGGTGGCGATGGCAGCCTAGGGCTCAGGCCTTCAGAGGCGCCCCCACCCCTGGGGCAGCAGAGAGGATTAGAGGGGGGGAGGGAGTCCTTGCTCTACCCGGTGGACCCTCCTGACCTCTGGGGGCAGATGGAGTCCTTCGGGTTGTCCTGGCGGGGAGTTGCGGGCAGCTGCTAGGGGGATGTGAGGAACAGGGAAAGGATGGCGACCAAGTGGTCTCCCCCACGCATTGCCTTCCGTGCTCCCGTCCCTCTCTCTCCGTATCTGCCCCCCTCAGTTGAGAGACTCCAGGGATGGCAAAGAAAGCAGGCTTGGCTGGTTCCCATGTTCCACTCAGCATGAACGGTGACATTGATCCTCCTAGGGTACCTACATCCCTCTTACACAAGATTCCCCGATGGAAGATTGAAATACTGACCTATCTGGAGAGGACACCAAAGCAAATCTCTCCTGGCTCAAAGCCGAAATGGGAAGAAAATTCAGAGAGATGGTAGAGGGCCCAAGCAGGGGCCTAGCACGACACCCCTGTTTCCATCACAGGGGAGGCAGCAAAAGAGAATAGGAGGAGTGGGGGGGGGATTCAACCTCCAGCACATCTCTCTCCAAAACAAAACCAAAAAAAGGCAGAGAGGGGAGGTTGTCCCTGGGGGAGCACAGCCCACTTCTCAGTGCTCAGGAAGGGGACTCAGACTCCGGAACCTCATCTTCTAACAGAACCATAGAATCACAGAGTGGGAAGGGGCTATAGAGACCATCTAGTCCAACCCCCTGCCCCATGCAGGACCAACCTCGAGCATCCCTGACAACTATTCGTCCAGCATCTTCTTGAAAGCTGTCAGTGAAGGGGAGCTCACCACCTCCCTGGGCAGCTGATTCCACCGTTGAACCACTCTGACCGTGAAAAAGTGTCTCCTAATATCTAGCCGATACCTTTCTGCATGTAATTTAAATCCGTTGCTTCGGGTCCTCTCCTCTGCTGCCAACTGGAACAGCTATATAAGTAAGAGGCCGGTTGGAGAAGGTAGCGTCTTTGAGGGGCAACGATAAAATTTGGTGCTTTGGAAATGTTGGATTGGTGTTCTGTGTCTTCCACTCTCTGCCCGAGGAGCTGGCTAGCTGTATCACAACCCAGATGAAGAACTGAATCAGGGGAAAACCCTAACTGAGCTAACTTGGTTTGAACTGCTTTGAGCCAACTTGATTAAAAATTGTCTTGCAAAATTAACGATGCAAGACCGCAGGAGTTTTTATTTATCTTAAACCAAAGGTTAAATGAAGAGAGAGAGTTATTCTGGCAGTTATTTTCACCATCTTTCAGAATCGGACCCTTGCCCGGGTCATCGGGCCATCATACTTGTGACTATGGTTCTCTGATGTACATAGCTATGCTCTGTTATTGCTTCGCCAGCTGTTCTCCCTCCCCGCTTGTAGTTCCCAAGCTCCCGTCTAGCACCTGCTGGCATTGAATCAATCTGCCTGCAAGGTCCTCCTCTGACATTCATGGGAGAGGGGGCGAGTGAGACATGTCTGTGTGAACCGTAGATTAGCTGCGCTTGTACTTCTGTGAAAGGAAGCATCCTCCGCAAAGGCCAGAGGGAACTTTCACTGTTTCTCATTCTCATGGCCTTGGGGAGAGTCTCAAGTGATAACATCCACACCATTTTAATTGCACATATTAACCTGTCTATGCACTTTGTAATCATGACGTATGAATGGGGCTGGACCAGGGGTCTTGTCGATTCCCATCTTGTAATGTTCCTTAGTTCTTTCAATCTGTCAGCTTTCTAATCGAATCATGGAATTTGAGACAGATTTTGGGACCCATAGTACTGCCCTTAGAAATTTAGGTTGAGCCCATTCTAATGGCAGAAAGTGAGACTCAGAAGGGCCTAGAAGGGTTCCGTACAGTAAATGTGGTATAATCTTAAGTTTGAAAAGTTTAAGGGCAGCTGGAACAAAGTTCCTGCCCTTAGACCTAATAAACTTTATTATACTTAAAGTTGTCTTTTCTCCTTTGTCCGCCACGTAATTACTATGGGCCGTCCTAGTGCCGGTGGCTTGTCTAAAGGAGGAGACTTATGATAGACATTGTCCATTCATTGACCAGCTGCAGATGGAGTCCTTCGGGTTGTCCTGGCAGGGAGTCGGGGCAGCTGCTAGGGGGGCGTGAGGAACAGGGAAAGGATGGCGAA